GTTGCGGACATTACATTTTTGGGATTGTATAGCAATCTGTATTAAAAATGATAGGAAATCAAAACTGGGTGACTGATTATGCACTTCAATGTTTCTAGTCCACATAACAGGCATTCTAGCTTAATTCTATTTACATTTGTATACACATGGGCGTACCGGGCGGGGGGCGGAGGGGGCGGCAGCCCCCCCCCCCCCCCCCCCTCCCCAGTTTGTTGGGCAAACAAAGCCAGTCGGGCAATATTCGCTTCGCACTTGGGCAATATTGGCTTATTATAAAAATAAATGGGACAAATTCTGTCAATTTTGTGGGGAATTCTGTCAATTTTGTGGGAAATATGCTATCTATCTAATAGGAATTCTTCGTAATCACTAGTCCCCCCTCCGCCCCCGTCGACAACAATTTTGGAAAGTTTCTCCGGAATTTTTTTTAACAACGCGGGCACAATCCGAAAAAGTCAGGCAAATTTCTTTCCTCCCCCCTAATTTTTTCCTTCCTGTATGCCCATGTGTATGCCACCATAAATCCTGGGATGAAATCATGGTCACATATATTACAGTATATAATCTTCTGTTGACAATAATATCTTTCAAAAGTGCAATATTTGTTGCGCATAGACTCAGGCAATGACTCGGGTTGTGCAGCAAATAAAGTGTCATGTTTGTAGACCATTCTATTTGACAGTTTTGCATTTACTACATTTGGTGAGGATAATTAACATCCCTGGGTTTAGTGGAGATGATCAAAACAAACATGAATTAAAACATGATTTTGCTCTTAACAACATATGCCTTACAAAACTGATGGTACAATGGCAGTATACGGTAGTGGCATATTATATGTAACTTGGAAACTTTCCATGATGAATTGTGTCACTGTGATTGTGTATACAGCACAGAGTGATTATAGTTAAAAGTAAGGGTCCCATAGTCCTTTTAATGTTCTATTTTTAAGTCATCAAGTTTAAAATAACTATATAAAGAATTCAAGCAAGACAATTATATAAGCATCTAATTCTCCAATTTCAAAAATGTAATGTCTGCAACGTAATGTCCGCAACACATTATTCAAGACATGTTAATACTTTTTATTGTCTTTTTCCAGTCTAAAATAATGTTAATACCATTTTAAAAAAGCAGCACAAATATAATGTCAAAAGAGCTAGACGTTTGGCTGAAAAATAAATTGAATTGTTTTTTTGTTGCGGACATTACATTTCTCTTACCCAAACTTCGATGCACCATAAATCACAGCAACACTGGATATTGTCTGATCTAACATTGTCATCATGATATGTGAACCTTAGACTGTGTTTGTTAAGAAATATAACTTATTTCAAAGTTAAAGTGACTGAGTTATAATTATTTTAAATAAACACACTTTATCCACAGAACAATAGCAACAAACAAGTGCAGATTCGACGGTTTGCCGCAGAGTGGGCATGGGCCAAAATTCAAAAATCGTTTTGATTTATGATAATCCAATGTGTTAACTATGGAAACATGTGGTTAGCACCACATAATGTTGCATTTTGCAATTTTGCCATTTTCAATGTCTCATGTGAAATTGACCATAGGTAGAAATGATTTTGGTAGCAATGACCAGTTATGCATGGGCATTTTAAGAATTACCAATTATCTTAACAATTTTTGGACATGTTTGCAACAGCTGTGAAGAGTCATTGGGTATAAAGGGACCAAGGGTGACAATCCAATAACTATTTATCAGCTATTTAGCTCTTATAATAATAATGTCATAATGTGAATGCTGAGAGAGTTTGAGAAAATACATCTTCACAACTGTTACAATATACCTGACTATACTTTAATGAATTATAATATTTCAGACATTACTAGCAAACATGCTGACGAAATCCATTGACATTCCACTCTCCAATCCATATATAGTTGAAAAACTTTGCCCAAAGTAGCCAGGCACAACATCCTTGGACAACCCAGGTCACTGGATGGTATTTCAGCACACTGGTGGACATGCAACCTAATACCTGCAACCTGTGTCACATTTATATATATAGTTTTACACTGTACTGGAAAAATAATTTCAGGGAATTTGTAGAGATTCAGAATGCACACTTCATATGGTTTATTCAATCACCAGCATGCATGAATCATTTTATGTTATGAATATTTTTTTTAAATTATTCTCACTTTATAGATAAAATTATATCAATTTTTAATATCATAAATTAATATATAGTAGCTTTTGATTAAACAACTTATAATAATATATCGGCAAATAATGACTGGTCTCTCTGAAATCCATATAGAAAGGTTCAAATTTGACTGCCACTGCCACTACTTGATCTGGCAGTTGCATCCGATTGTTTGATTGGATAAATGAAACTTATCTAGTTAATGGTAGCAATAGCAGCAGTGGAAGTCAAATCTGATCTCTCTATTATTTTTTGAAGGTTTGCTCTAGTCATGTCAATTCAGGGTTGCCCATGGAACTTGGTTAGCACAGCTAGCTCTTCAAGTTGGAGGAGGTCCAATTCTTAGGATTCTGCAAATTAATTCTAGAAACCTGGCTTTGGTTTGGGCTAAACAAAAATCATCACACTGTTTATCATGCTGATTTGGTTGTTTAACAGTTAAAGTCCACGCTGCATGTTTTTTTTTGTCCTGCATATGGCAGATGGGACAGTCTAGTTTCCAAGTGTTTATGTGAGGAATTAATATTAATCAGGACTGGCTTCTGAGTGAAGGTCTTGCCTGCTTTATGTGAGAACAGGCTCTATGTGAGATTCCAATTGCTACACAGCATGATCTCAGTGCTCTTCCTCTGAAACAATGCTTGGTTGCAATATCATCCAGCAAGTGCAAAAATGTACTACCACGGTCAAGGATCATTTGGCATGTTCATCGACTATGTTAACCCATTGAGTGGCGCCATGCACCCTCCACCTGACGAGTAAAATTGTCTGGCGTTAGACAGAGTAAACTAACAAAGTAGGGTGCATCTGGGCCATTCCATTAATTAATGTATACACCCCCTATGGACGAGTTCAATAAAATTTGAACCCCCAAGAAAAAAAGATCAAAGTGCCGACACCAACACCCCCCCCCCCAGAAATTAAGAAATTTTTGCCTTATCCCTCAGAAAAAATGCAAATATCAAAGGATGCCGATGCACACAACCCCTCAGAAACGGCTTTTTCAACCCCCTCAGAAATTCTAGTCCATAGATACCACAGCACAACACTTGTACATATACATATACAAGTAATACAACAGCAATCCTTTTATATATTTAATAGTCATATTTACATATTGGTGAAATATCAATGTCCATATATTAGGGATGTCCATGAACTTGTCCCTGTTTGAAGCTAATGTATTCATATCTTTTGTATAAGTTGTCCCTCTACAAACCAACTTTTAGTCATTATACAAGAGTTAAATTTGCATAAGTCGCAACAAAATGAACAAAGTACTATTCCATAAACCTGTGCAATGATCGAGCGTCTTTGGCGACATATCCATGTCTTTTAAACGTCTCATACGAACAAATCTCACTGAGTTTTTTCTACAGAAAGTATTGATCCATTTGATCGATCGCCGTACTTTGAGAAAAGCTTGAAGTGCAAAATTCAGAACTAAGATTGAAGAATTTCGGAGATAAAAACTGTTTGTCTTCGAGTTTCACCTATTCACCCCCCGGTTGAGAAAAGTAACAATTACGTAATTTTGGAGTCACGTGACCAGCGTTTACCAGGGCTATGTCGCCCATAGATATAGGAGATCTAGATTGCTGACGCATACCTAGCGCAGGCGGGGGCCTACATGATAAATCCAAGATGGCGGTACAAGAGGGCAAAAAGACTATAGAATCTATTACGAAAATCAGGATTTTTTGCAGTTTTTGCCGTCGCATTGTTTCGAAACTTATTCGGTCAAGTTTTGTGGTAAAGAGAAATTTACCGCGAAGATTTTGAGCATATATATGATTAAATTGGATGAAAACTCGCAAAATTATCCATCGATAAAAGTTCGTGTGAAATGGTCACTTGGTCACTTCGAGCATTTCATTGCCAGAAATACTGTGCTATGTTAACATCTAGCCTCGTGGATGGTGTTATATTCTGTTTAAACGTGAAATTTAGTTCAGGATCATATACTTCCCGTCGTTGTGAACGTATTAAAGATTGGTTTTTAACGTCAAAACACACCGTTTAATATTTTTGTAGTTTGGCAGTTTGCTAGTCGTTTCCAAAAAGGATGAGTTTATTTAGCTTTTGCCGTTTTGATGGTGCCTCTTGCCTGACAATTCGTTCTGAGTAGACTTTCGAGAACTGGTGAAGAAATATCTTGCTGTACAAATCCGTGATTTTCTTTACGAGGATGGTGATGTGGTCGTCGCGAAGATCTTTGTCGAGTACATGAGTGTCTTGGGAGTGTTGTTGCAGTGACTGAAAAACACTTGGCTTCACTTCTTGTAGCACGTCCCGTTGCAATGTTTCCAGTGCTTTTTTTGGCAAATTACTCCACTTGGCTGCCAAAAGACGGAGACGACTGTCAGCTACTTTTACGGTCTTTAACACTGATGTAGATGGGTTTATCAGACTACCATAGCTCTTGAAAGAAATCAGGCTGGGTGGCATGGAAGAGCATGATTGACCATATGTGTGATCAGGCAAGGAAGGTTGGCTGTTATTCTCCGCAACCAAGGCTGCAGCACATTCAGCACACTTCAGGCAATTGGTTATCATCTTGACAATATATCCCCCAATATATGATAACACATCCTCATGCCAAATGGTGGAACAATCTAAGATGCTGGTGACCTTCTTGTCTAAGTGAGTAGCTTCTTCTGCTAGTTTGCCTTCTTCAACGACAGAGCAATTGGCAGTTGGAGAAGCGGCTACTTGATTCTTCTGTAATAGTGCCCTGAGAGCCCACTTGAATTGCAATGCGTTTGGATTGTTGTTACATCCCAGGCGACTTCGTATCTTACTGAAGAACAGTTGGTCTTGAGAGAGCCGGTAAGTGAGAACATACTCAAATTGATTGTAATTTCTGGTCAGTAGGTGTTTTGCCAAAGCTAGAATAGATTTAGATGACAGAGCAAACCCCAAGATGAATGTTTTCCTGGGACCATCTATTAGTTTAACTCCTTCGCTATCTTTGAGTTCTTTCAAGTATGCAATGGTCTCATGTACATAATACTTAAGTTCATCCAGATTTTCCAGTCTAATTGGGCTCTTGTAATGTTTTCCATATTTACTTTTTGAATTTAAAATATCAAACAAGTTGTTTATTTTCAAAATGAACTCTGCTGTTTCATCACTGTCTAGGAACTGTGGCACTTTAATATTTTTCAGGTACATTAATCCAGCAGCTACAGAATTGCTAAGGGTTTGTGCTGCAATTGCCACATTCATTTTTTGATTATGCCACTTGATATGTTTTGTTTTAAGCTTGTTGCCAAGGTGAAGAACATCACTCTTTTGGACATTGTATAGTTCTGTGATATAATTCCAGCAGATTTTGGCACCAGTATCTGTGTGAAAAACTTTTTTGTCTCCCAAGCTGTTACGGGCAAGCTTTAACATGTGACACACATCCAAAATGACATATATAGTTTTGTTTGGCCGTGATGGGTGGTTGAATGATCCGTCAAGTTTGTCAATTTTGCATCCAAGGCACCTAGCAGTCGTCAAGTTTTTTGCACAACCATCAAATACTACTGCTTGGACATCTAGTGCTGCTTCGGTCAGTAAGTTTATTGCTTCTTTGATTAACTGTGCTTGCATTTTACCATTGACACGATCTACCAGAAAATAGGCAATGGGATGAAACCATGGCTTTTTAAGTCCAACTGCCATAAAAACCAAGGCATTAGTTGCTATACTGTCTTGTTCCTCTGCTAAAATACATCCATAATCTGTGTTGCCAGCAAACTTTTTGTTCTTTCTATCCCATAGTACTTCTTTCTTTATAGACATTTCATCCACTAATATTGCACAATCTTTCTCATCTTCATCCAGGCTATTCTTCAATTCATCAATGACATTCGTCAAAAAACCGGGGTCACAATCTATGGCTGCTGCCCATGATCTTATGGTTGCTGGACATGGTAAGTGAAGTGATTTTCTAACAAACCGGTAGCTCCTTGGGCTATAAAAATGCAATGACACTGCAAATTTCTTGATGGACTCGCTGTACCGCGGGCTTTAGATTTTTGGTTATTTTTGTGTTCATTTATGAATAGCTTCTTTGTCATGTGACCAAAGTTTGACATCAAATTTTCACTTTGTTCTTTTGACAAATATTTCAGATCTCGCAGCTTTTTCAGTAACCCCTTAATGGTTTTATCCCTTCGAAGACTTTTTTTAGATAGGCTCTTCATCTTTTTTCTTTTATTTTCTAGGGACTTCTTCATTTTTGGAATAACCTTACTAGGAGATGTGCAGTAGATGTGGTCATGACCAACTGGCTGAAATTTCCTTTTAGGTTTCTTGTTGGGAACATCTGGGATTGCATCGGTAGTGGCTGCTTTTCTCTTCATGGGACATTTTCGTGGGTTAGTTTTTTTTTTCAAGGTGTGGTGGAAAATCAAAAACTGAGGGGACAGCATCTGGCTTTAAATACTTCTTGAGCTTGTTGGTAGCACCCATCATATAATCATCTGGTGTGAAGTGTTTCTCGCACAAGACAGAATATTCAGATGGTTTCCACTGATCCCGTTTCATGGCCATCACCCAACTATTTAACAAGCTGGTGTTTTTCAAAGGAAATCTATAGTAAAACCACTGGTTGCATTAACTCAAATGCATTCTACTATCACTGTACTACAATTATAATTAAAATAATACAGATGTTTTTTCTGATAAGAAAGTTTTTATCAGGGCATAAGTTTTTATAGTTAAATAGCTTTTTGAAAAGTGGGTCTTTCTAGGGTAAAATACAAGCATGGTCATGGCCAACTGTAGTGCTGTATTGTGTTGGTTATGTGTGCTGTACTGGCCCCCACCCATCAACATACAGCAGTTCCCTGTATTTTCCCTTTTTAAGAATATCAATAATGGAGATATTATGGCAAAATTTGTCATGCATCAGTGATCACATAGTTTTTTACTATCACATTTTTTTTTTAAATAAAGCACCGTTTATGCATTTTTTTTAATTACTTGTGAAATGACAACGTGGTTCCGTCACTTGATTTCACTCTCCTATTCGTGCAGTTGTACGCTGCACACGAATTCGGCATTTTGCCCAAATAAGAAAATAACTTTGTCCCTCGTAACAATGAAACTAATTAACGACAAAGGCGTTCTGAAAAGAACGGGGTTTTTTCCTTGCAAAATCAGCTCTAAACGGCAGTGCAGATCGCGTCCTGGACTTTTGAAAGTTCCCGCGTTTTTTTTCACACTACCTGGGGAATAGGTTCCAGCATTTATTAGACTTTTTGTTGAAATTTGACATGGTAAAAACGATTATTTGGCACATGTATGGCAAACTCAGCATGAAAAAAATAATTTAAAAAATGAACACACAATACGCAGGAAATTTCAGTATTAATAGAAGATCTAATGCTTCAGAGGGCGGTTAGGGCAATTTGCAACTGGACCCCAAAAAGCTTTGGGCAGCTCTGTCTTTTAATACTTGAACATTAACTCATTCAAAAATAGTTAAATATTTCATAGCATTTTAGTGAAAATATGATAAGATTATTGTGAAACAATTGTTCATTAAGGACTGTTACCAGGAAGGTCATTGCCATGGTCAGAAATTGGCTGCTCATTACATGGGGCAATATATGAAACATATCATCAAGTTCATTCATTGTAGAAACAAGTTAATGCGACTTTAATAAACAAATTTCTAGTACCATGGCCATGGTGTTAAACAATATTATATATAGTACTATATATGTAACTTGTACACTTTTGCTCACTATTTGCATAAGAAGCAAATTATAACAGACCATAGATGAGACTCTTATTCAGTGCCCTCATCAGTTTTCTTCTCTAACAAGCAAGGGGTATACATAACGGTTTATTTTTCATAATTATGGGGATAGAACAGATGATGACGAGTGATGACAATGGGCCATTCCATTTAATATACACCCACCCCCCTATGGACGAGAATTCCTGAGGGGGTTTGAAAAAGCTGTTTCTGAGGGGTTGTGTGCATCGGCATCCTTTGATCTTTGAATTTTTTCTGAGGGGTAAGGCAAAATTTTCTTAATTTCTGGGGGGGGTGGTTGTGTCGGCACTTTGATTTTTTTTCTTAGGGGTTTAAATTTTATTGACCTCGTCCATAGGGGGGAGGGGGTGTATATTAAATGGAATGGCCCAATGCGGGCAGGTCAGTTAAAAAAGTGCTTATAAATAATTGGATGATGTAGTTATTGAACAACTCCTTATGTTCTAAAATATACAATACTGCATTTCAAAAAATATATATCCATCAAATTTGTTTAAGCTAAGAAATAAGATTTTACACTTGGATACTGTTTAATCTGCATAAATAATAATAAGTAATATTTTTTACTTGCCACACTATTTATTTATTTTGCCCAAAAAGTAAATCAAAGAAAATTTAGTATTTACAAGAATTGGGGCTATAGCTGGCTAGGGACCTAACAGGAACCACATGGCTTTCATTTAAGGCCTCTATTCCCTAGATCATATATTTACAGTAATTAAAATATAATATGCCAGTTCAAATGCTTATAAAATACAATTCCAGTTAAGTATTATGCATACTGAAAAATGCAAAAAAAATGTGGCAATTAGCTAAATGACAGGTACAATAACACAATTATAATTTTATATTGAAAAAGAATATAGTTACTGTCATAAGCATGGATTTTTATCCCAAAATATCAGCAATCGGATACCTATCTATAAAAGACGTAAAAAACATAAATCCATTCAAAATACACTAAACAATCTTGACCGGACAGTATAAATACATTATGTCCATTTCATGATTCCAAGTCTTCGGCATTCTCGACCTGAACGAATACGACTACCACAATTATTTCTCATGCTATTTCTCTACTGCTTTCACAATGTTTGTTGCAAGTATATAACACCATCCACGAGGCTAGATGTTAACATAGCACAGTATTTCTGGCAATGAAACGCTCGAAGTGACCAAGTGACCATTTCACACGAACTTTTATCGATGGATAATTTTGCGAGGTTTCATCCAATTCAATCATATATATGCTAAAAATCTTCGCAGTAAGTGTCTATTTACCACAAAGCTTGACCGAATAAGTTTCGAAACAATGCGACGGCAAAAACTGCAAAAAATCCTGATTTTCGTAATAGACTCTATAGTCTTTTTGCCCTCTTGTACCGCCATCTTGGATTTATCATGTAGGCCCCGCCTGCGCTAGGTATGCGTCAGCAATCTAGATCTCCTATATCTATGATGTCGCCCGCCTTCACTTCGCGACTAGTCCTGGGTACGAGGTTGCAGAGGAGGAATGAGGGTTTTCCCGAAATGCAACGCGCAAATCAGTGCGGCTTATTATTATTCAAGATATTTATTCTCAACGCGCCGTTCGATTAAAAACTGTTGAAATATATTGCGATTTTTGCTGTAAAGATCTCGTTTTCTCAAAGGTATGCTTTGATAACTTTTTGTTCAGTAATTTAATAAAAGAAGTTTTGAATTTTGTATGTAGATCGCATTTTACTTATGTTAAATTCCCATTGTACTTATGCATGTTTTGGGTCAATGAACATGACCTTCAAAGTGGCATCGAAATATTCACGAGTAAATTGTACTTTTTTACAAGGAAACTAAAATAAAATCTCATGAGTGAATTTAGGAATGTTTACTTTTTATAATGATACTTTAAAAAATGAATTTACTCCACAAAACTGAAGAGTGATCGCGGTTTGAAAATGAGCTATTTTTGGAATTTTTTGCTATCATAGTATAATATAGAAAATATCTCATTTTTAAACCGCGATAACTCTTCGGTTTTATGGAGTAAAATATCATTATAAAGAGCAAACATTTGTGAATTCACTCATGTGATTTCACTTTAGTTTCCTTGTAAAAAAGTACAATTTACTCGTGAATATTTCGATGCCACTTTGAAGGTCATGTTCATTGACCCAAAACATGCATAAATACAATGGGAATTTAACATAAGTAAAATGCGATATAAATACAAAATTATTCTAAATTTCTTTTATTAAATTACTAAACAAAAAAGTTATCAAAACATACCATTGAGAAAACGAGATCTTCACAGCAACAATCGCAATATATTTCAACAGTTTTTAATCGAATGGCGCGTTGAGAATAAATATCTTGAATAATAATGAGCCGCACTGATTTGCGCGTTGCATCTCGGGAAGACCCTCATTCCTCCCCTGGGTCAAGACAAAGTTATACTGAGTTTAACCACTCGTAATTTACTAGAGCTTCGTGAAGACAATACTATTTCCAGTCTTTTGAAAAGAAGCAGTACTACGCGCGGACGTTTGACCGCGGTGTTATCTCCAAACGGAAATTTGAACGAAAATTTGAAGGCCGTCCCATGCGTAATTTGACGCATGCGAAAAGCACGGTCGATTGGTCATATGTGTTCTATTAACTATGCATGATTGTGCTGACCTATGACTGTTGACATTGCTTTTTAGTTTTTAATATTTCAGCCAGTCATGCTTTGCAAATGACAAATCTATTTTATACCCAACCCTTGAGTTGTTTTGTTTTTCATTTACCGAACCTTCTGCTCACTCAAGATTTTGTTTACCCAACACTTTTCTCTTCGGTGCCACTCCTCGCCATAAATAATGACCATGAGTCCCTAAATGATTTTACAAATTTCTGCTTTTAAAGTTGCTGTGTTTTTCATGCAATTCCTGTCCCCCAATTTCAGGTTTAACACAAAGCTTGCATGATTCTGTTTCTCTTTTACAATAGTTATTTCAAGTGCGAATTAAGTAGTAATCAGTAATCTACTTAAACTTCAAAGTTCAAAGCCCTTGTTATCATGAAGGAGTTTTTCACATCCATCGTTCTAAAATGGTATTACTTCTGGTCCGTACACAGTAAAAACAAATTGGTTAAAATGACCAAAAAAAATTGGTCGTTTGAATGCGTCTGAGACAACCAGTTTAAATTGGTCGTTTTAACCAAAAAAGTAATTGGTCAAATTGACCAATTATTTAATTGGTCAAATTGACCAATTATTTATTGGTCAAATCAACCGGAAATAATTGGTTGTTTTGACCAATAAATAAATGGTCAACTTGACCAATTAATTATTTGGTTAAAAAGACCAATTTAAACTGGTTGTCTCAGACGCATTCAAACGACCAATTTTTTTTGGTCATTTTAACCAATTTCAAATGACCAAATTAAAATTGGTTAAACATTTAAATTGGTTAAAATGATCAAAAATGCATTCCATTCAAAACGTGCTTGAAAAACAATATTTTATTAACAAATAAATATTAAGATTAAAATACAAAATCAATATACAGTATATGCAATATAATAACTTATAGGGATGAAACGTCACACGAAACCTCTCTGACTGTAAATATTTCTACAATATTCACTCGTCGAAGGCTATCAAGTCATACAGCCAAAACTTGTGAAAATAAATATTTACATGCATGCATGCAGTCAGAGAACCATTTCATATTTCACAGCGGACTCCGTTTGACCGTAAATTCTAGAGCCAAAGGGGCGGGATTACAGTTGGATTTAGAGAAATGTGGCGGATAAACAAGAAAGGCCGTTGTTTTCAAAACGGAAAGCCCATTTCTGCAAACAGAGATGTAATATTGTAGACGAAATCAAATTTTAGATTTTGTTGATGTAGCGATGAACTATATTTGTAATGTGCAAGTCAGGAGAAGCAAATGCGAAGGCCTTTATCGTGA